GACGTATCCTGTCTGCGCGAACAGGGTGCGCAGAGGTATGCTAATACATATGTTGACAGGCAGTTGGGAAAGCCCATTAAAACGCTCGGACCGAGCGTTTTGATTGGACGAACATTTTTCGGTCCTACGCCTTCCACAGAATATATAAATACAGATAAATAAATTTAGACCACTTAACTTAATGATTGCTATCGGGATGTGAAGAGACTTTAAACCAGCATAACAAAAAAATTTTTTGAAGACAATCACCTATTGCACCTTTAATCCCTTTAAAGTTATACATATGAATTAAACATGGGAAAATGGCCTTCATCATCACAATATGCTAATATGCCAGTGTTAGGGATTCATCAGTATGCTGATTGAGGCCTGTTGGGACAATCCAGGCAAAGGATGATTCTGTCTGAAGAGGCAGAGTCGCTTACACCTCTAATACCATTTGCCCCACAGGACATATACATACTACATACTATTTATCTATTCATGTGATCCAACATGTAACAATGTCATGTTTGGTTTCATCTGATAGTTTATAGACTGAACTGTATTCTGGTGAACTAAACAGAGATATTAAAGTATCCTAATGTACAGACTAGGTACTATTGTTTAAACATGCATTGTGGAGAACATGTTAATGTGCTTCTCTCCCTCTTGATCAATACCCACTTAACTTCAGGTTTATAGTCTTTCGGTTTCCTGTCAGTTTATCTTGTGCTGATATTCCACTCATCATTAACAATGCTGTGATCAGTGTATAAGAAGGAAAAGTAACTGCTGATCGGGGAGAATGGCTTTTACCCTACTGCTCCCAGACACTGGTGTGTAAGCTCATACTACAAGAAAGTACTCTGCCTCTTCTGCGTAGCAGTGCATTAACTGTTACAGCTAAGTTTCTCTAAACAGTATGTTATTCCATTGTACTTTCTGTATATTTAAACATGTAACTTAATAAATAACTTTGCCTGCTTTAAGGCTCTGAGAATCTTTCCTTTTACCACTGATAAAGTTGAAAGCTAAAGTGACTTTTGTAAGCTAAATGTTTAGTTTAAATCCTACATTTTCCTATCAGTTCTAAAAAACACTTTTACCTTTAGAGAATAAGAGGTTAAATAATAACAACAACTTTAATGAAATTAGATAAATTATACTGGAGTCAAGACAAATAAATGAATTAAGCACTTCATCCTTCAACTGCTTTCTGTTCCGATTACTGGTTCAGAGTAGCAGCTTAAGATCCCAGTCTTGCACAATACAGATGTCAATCTCGTATTTTCTGTATAACTGATGTCTTACATTTCAATTTTAGTTAAAAAGTCAGTTAATTTTCCATCATTGAGCTTTTGTTCTAGATTTGAAGAAAAAAAAACATCTCCTTGTCTGAATTCAGTGTGTTATAGACTCCTTTAGAGATGTTAAATCACCACTACATGCTTATACTCACAGCTGACCAGAGGTCACTGGTTCATCACTGAATGTAGGAGGAAGAGGCAATGATTTGTCACTCTTCAGAGACACACAGCTGGGTTCTGGAGATGAAGCTCTCTGATTCCAGATACTGAGAAAACACATAGAAATTATCGGGTTTTTTTTTTTTTTAGTTCAGGGCCATAACCACCCCAGACACTGAGTAATTAGAAAATTTAATTAGAAATGGCCAAATTGTCCCCCCTCCCCCCAACATTTGAAATTTTTGCACTGATCTGCTGCACTCCATTATGCAGTGCTCTGTTTGTTGTTAGGATGACAAAAAGGTTTAAGTTATATTTTCAGGCTGGTGTGCCTCAGCAGTATAACAGTGCTCGTCAATGTCAAAATGACTGAGATGGTCAATCAAATCAAAATAGGATGGGTTTACTGTTCAGCACAGTGCGAATTCCAGCATGAAGCATTGGAAGAGAGCGAGGTAAGAGAAAAGTATCAAAACATTTAATATTTGAAAAACAGTTTTACTATATAAATATTAAAATCACCAACAGTAATCTTTATGAGATTAATGTAATTCCTAACTGAATGTGGTTAGACACTAAATATTATTAGGCATACATATTAGGCATACAAATAAAAGTACATGTGTTTAAAGTATTATTTCAAAATGATTACTTACCAAATAGAATTAAATCTAGAATTTCCTTTACTTTATGCTTTATAAAAAGAAAATGGTACCACCCACAACGTTCAAGGCATGGTTACAGCCTTGCTTTAGTTCATTATATTTACACGGAACAAAATTATAAACGCAACACTTTTGTTTTTGCCCCCATTTTTCATGAGCTGAACTCAAAGATCTAAGACTTTTTCTATGTACACAAAAGGCCTATTTCTCTCAAATATTGTTCACAAATCTGTCTAAATCTGTGTTAGGGAGCACTTCTCCTTTGCCGAGATAATCCATCCACCTCACAGGTGAGGCATATCAAGATGAAAAAGTCTTAGATCTTTGAGTTCAGCTCATGAAAAATGGGGCCAAAAACAAAAGTGTTGCGTTCATAATTTTGTTCAGTATATTTTTATGTCAGTCAGTAGGCCAGAGGAGAACTGGCCCCTGACTGAGCCTGGTTTCTCGCAAGGTTTTTTCTCCATTTCTGTCACAGATGGAGTTTGGGTTCCTTGCCACTGTCACCTTCTGGCTTGCTTAGTTGAGGACACTTAATATTCAGCAATATTACTGAATTGACCGCACAGGCAATAAAGTATGATCACGGCAAACATTTAGATCTCACTTGACCCAGAGAGAGAAGCTGCCATGTATAGGTATGATACATCTGTATCATACATCTATGATACAGGACAGGCATCTGCATCTCGCAGCTCGGGCCACACTGCTGCCGAGGCACAGCGGAAGCTCCAGTTGTGGGGATCACAGGTAGAGCTCACGGAGGAGTCTGAGAGAGATTTGGATCTTTCTAAATCTTCTAGCATGGGCTCAAGCATGCCGCGGGATCTGGATGTGCTCTCACTCGAGTCATCCGATCTGGTGGGTAGCGCGCTGCTGGCATCATCCAGTCACGATGAGGAAGTGGATGTTGTTGGTGATGACGGGGAGAGTGTGAGCACTGAGTCATACCAGCCCTTTAGCCCCGCATACAGGAAAATGTTGCAGGTTAATGTTTCGCGCTGCAAAAAGGTTAGATCTGGATTGGGGGTGGGTCAGGCAGGAGTGGCTTTACACACTATGGCTGTGTTACAAACCTACAAGTCTGACCTGCTTAGAGATCTGGATGAGAGCAAGGGTTTGTCCCCTGAGGCTGTTGAAGAACTGCACCGCACCACGGATCTCGCTCTTTGTGCCACCAAGCAGACTGCTGCCGCTATCGGTCGAGTAATAGCGGCAATGGTGGTCATGGAGCAGCATCTGTGACTGAATTTGGCAGACATCGGGAGAGAGAAAAACTTTCTTGCTCCGCTCTCGCCATCCGTTGAGGTGGTAGTTGAGAAGTTCAAGGAAGTGAGGGCGCAATCTGCAGTTTTGGGCGGTACATCCTTCGCTGAACCAGATCACATCCCCAAGCCTTTGAGGGGGCTGGTCTACTGTGATCTGAGAATTGTAGACAGCACCAGAAAACTAGCGTGGCTACTCGAGCACCACC